CTCTGTCGCCAAGGTATGTCTTGTTTCTGCTTCCTGTTGCGAGGGAGAGAGCTGTGACGGTCAGCAAGAGCATTGGAAGCTGAGCCGCCTTATTTACCAGTGGAGGGACATGATCAGAAGCCTCCTGCGAATTCTCTTTTCCAGAAACGATTGGCAATGCACTGGGCTGTTGTTCTCCTTCTTTTTCCTGGTCTGGCGTGCTGTTAGGGGCATCCATCTTGATCGCAGGGGAAAGTCGAGTATCTGGGCAATAGCATGTCCACTAATTCTTGGAGGCTTTTATAGACTAGAAGACATCGGCGGCCAGATACTCAGTCTCATTTTCACCATGAAAGTCAATCAGCGTAGTCAGCTTTTCAATCTCAGCACTCTGTTAGCAGTCCGTTTAATGATGGTGCTGGTGATCAGTCTCGTGGTGTTGATGGTTGGTGAATATGCCTCATATTTGCGGCTTCCGGTGATGAACGGTCCGGAAGATAAATATATATATTCAATCACAACGCATTTGCCACATTCGTTTGAGAGCTCAGAAAACCCAAAAGTAAATAGAGTAAAATCTAAGGACTGAAAAAGAAAATCGAAAAAACAAGGTATCCATCTCAACCATGATCATGAGTTCAAAAGTTGACTCTCGTCAACAAGGACGGCCAAGCTTCAACGGGTTGACGGGTCAAGTACGTACCCGCGCCCGCGCACGACCGTGGCCTGACGCTTTCCGCAGCCTAGACGGACAGAACCACACACAGCTCAGACAACCAACACTCAAGCGAGGCCAGAAGATTTCCATGTTCCTTAGATGAAAATGTGAGCGCTCTTGGTAAGATCAAAGAATGAACAGCTTCCGTTGCCTCAATATTAAGACCGTAGATTCAACAGTGACCCAACGTTTCTTAACCGACTCACTTTGACTCATTTTCAACATGACTTTAGCATGTTTTCCCGATGAGCATCTAAGATCGCACCATGAATTTCGCTGCTAATAGTTGCGGTAGAATGAAGGCATGGGTTGCTACAGGCCTCACTTAGGATAGACATCGTGTTCAACGTTTGCTCTCTAGTAGAGCCCGCGTGCTACAGGAGCCGAGAAACCTATAAATACGTCCTCTTCCCCCAGCAATTTGTTCTCCATTACCATCACTTGGCTATGCAGAGTCGAGCAGGTCTTCGATTCCTGATAAGTTCTTCCCTTTGACCTACTGGAATTTCACTGTATTGACATCTATAGTTACATCGTGGACCGACAAGCTAGAAAGTGCTTGTGAGACGCGACGACCACCAGGTCCACTATGTCACTCATGCCAGCCGATCAAGAAGCAGATTTGGGTTAGCTAGTCCAAGTACCTATGCGAACATCTGTCCACCATAGCAGCCGACCACTGTCCGCTCCTGAATATATCGATGCAAAAGAGCGGTCGAGGTAAGTCTGT